TCGTCGACATTCACAACAAACCACAGTCGAGCATCTCGCCGCTGTGAAGAACAGATGTAGCAAAAAATGACGATGGTAGTAGCAATAATCCACATGGTTGTAGCAAAACACCGTCTCACTGTCGACGGGTCATAGCTAAGTCGTAAATGGATGTAGAAAAAAAATGTAGGTAGTAGCAAAAAACGACGATGTTGCAACAAAATGGCGTCGCCATCACCGCGGGTGTCACAGCTACCATGAATGATTGTAGCAGAAAAAGTGGATGGTAGTAGCTTCATTGATCGCCGTTTGCAGCATCCATATTCTCCGGTTCCAGCAAAATATCGAGGCCGTCGACCTCGCGTTGCAGCAAAATGCATAGTCGGTTCCAGAAAATGGTGTTGCTGGTTCCAACAAAAAACAATGCCGGTGGCAACACACGGCCCGCGGCGGTTGCAGCTCATCAATAGAAAATTCATGGCCTCCCCTTAAACAACATGGCGCAGCCATGGCCGTGGAATGCAGCACGCAGACACACGAGTTCCAACAACGAGCACATCGGTTGCGACATTTTGGGGGTGGGGTGGAGGAGGAGGTGGCCATAGCGACGAGCTTCGGGGGAGAGGAGGAGAGAGTGCAACCAGGACGCAAGCATCAGAGGAGAGGATGCGGACGCGGCCATGGCAGAGGGCATCTGGGTCTATGGGCGCGTGTTTGTGCAAGAAAAAGCTCCGTCGTTGCTCTGAGGAAGAAAAAGTGGATGCGAGAAAGAAAAGAACGGGCGAGGATGCGCGTCGGAAAGAAGATAATGTTGTGTGGCAAAAAAGGAAAAAGTCCAAAATAAACCTTGAATTTGTTGACGAAAGCTAAATTGAACCTTGAATTTTCAATCCCTTAAATCAGCACACTAAATTCTTCGATCCCAGTTTATTTTGAACCTTGAGGACGTTCCCAAACAGGGATTGTCGACGTGGCAGGATTGTTTGTTGACTGCGGAAGCCACTGGGCCGGCCCAACAGGCGCAAAAGAAAAACTAAGATTTGTTTCGAGTTTTTTTTCATAATACACTACGTAAAATAGACAACTGTTGATTGCGGACGTGACTGGGTCGGCCCACCACATGCGAAGCGAGTTATTTTTTCCTTTTTTTTCATAAGGCGGGACGTAAAAATGAGTCGAACTTGCGACCTGGTGCCGCCAGACTCCACGCCCAAGCCACTGGAAGAAATGATTGATTTAATGAGAGGCCTCATATATTTAGCAACACACGGCAAAGGCAAGATTAGAAAAATACTAGCAGGCTGAGGCGCAGCGACACGCCGCGCCCGCGAGAGAGACCGTGTGAACTGGTTCGTTTGGCAGTTGTTTCTTTGTTTAGCTGTTGAAATTCTGTTGCACATTTTGTGCGTCATCTCTTTGTGACAATGTGAGAAACGATCATGCACTGGTTGTATTTTGCCGAACAAAAGAGCATATGTTTAAGGGCATTCAAATGTGGAAAACGTAAACAAATTGTGAATCTCCGAAAACATAAAAGTGCGAATATTTTTCACTATTCAAAATTCTTAATAATTTTGAAAAATAAAAACATTTTGAAAACAGAATCAATTTTGAAAAAGCGAACACTTTCTGAAACACAAACATTGTTTCAAACATGGGAACAAATGTGTGAAACCTGAACAAATGTGTGAGACGTTGAGTACTTCAAAAAAATGAACAACTTTTTGAAAACAGAATCAATTTCGAAAAAGTGAACACTTTTTGAATAAATGGGATTTTTAAAAACTAAACAAAATTTTATAGTCCAAATACTTTCTGAAATATTTTAAAATGGGAGCAACTTTTGAAACCTGAACAAATGTGTGACAAAAAGGTTGAATACTTTCAAGAAAATGAACAACTTTTTGAAAACAGAACACTTTTTCATTTTACTAAAAGTAGGAGCAACTTTTTAAACTATGTAAAAAAATGTTTGTATACTTTTTCAAAATGTTCATTGTCATTTAGGAAATGCTAAACATGTATTTGGCAAAAATGTTACTGTGTATTCAAAATAAAGTTGAAAAAATGTATTAAAAAAATGTACATAAAGAAAGTTGAAAAATGTTGAAAGTTTATAAAGTAATACGAAGGGGGAAAAAGCTGAAGAAAACCGATGAGAAATAAAGAAAACCAAAAGAAAAAAAATAAAAAAAACAATAAAAATCATAGCAGAGTGGGGGCGCGTGCCATTCAGCGGGGAAGGGGTCGCCAAGCGCACGATCGAAAGCGATGCCACGACGCACACGCTTTTGGTCGGTGCGCCGGTAGTAAACGTTTCCCTCAATCAAAACGAGCCGAACCAGTCTCATGTACGGTGTTGCGCTGGTCCGAGTCCGGTCCTGTTAAGTAATAACATGTGATAAATAGCAAATCAACGTGGGCTAAAAACCGTGGAAGAAAAGAGGAAAACGTTCTAAAAAAAAGGAAAACCCATGGACGAACCCAGAGACCCCCTCGACGTGGACGCGAGTCGTTCCTCACGAGATGAGAAACCCTTTTCGGGCGCCGCCGGTGCAGAGGCCGCGGCGCACGAGATGAGAATGATGTCGAGGGCCTCCAGGATCCTCGGCGATGACCCGGAGACGGTGCGGGAAGCGAAGAGGCCACACCTGGCAGAGGAAGAGGAGGGGGTAGATCTCCACTCCACGAGCCCTAGATCTCCTGACGAGCTAGCTGGTCGAACATCCCATCCAGAGATGATCTTCGCGGCCTTTGAGCACGACGGAGCCCAATCCCAAGTAAAACTAGGTGATTTTGCCCCCAGGTTCCAACCTCCTTTCCTCCTCATCAAGACAGACTACTTATTCGTATTTTTCTGTAGATCGTGTGTATGATGTGATCGAGTCCGTGACGGAGGAATCCTCCGATCCGGCCAGCCCCCCACTCTACGAACCCTACATACCCGACGAGCTAGCTGATAGGGCTACCAATCCGGGCATACGCGCTGCCTTTCGGCACGCCAAAGCCTTCGTGCTTGTTCTCTGACCCGTGCCTCCTTCCCATCCGTGAACCCGCAAAGGATGCAGTGCTTCTTGCCGCCAACTCGGTCATCATTCTCTCGTCCTCTCTCGGTGCGTATGTGTGTAACATCATGCTTGAATGCTACTAACTAATATTTGCTACCTGGCAAGTAATGTTCTGACTTTTGGTTTGCTTTGCAGAGAGTCAGCCGCTGAATATGTGCTCTGGTTTGTGGATTCAACGGGATGACAGTCGCAAAACCGCTGTTGTTTTGACGTCTGCTCATCTGATTCGCGCAAAGGATCCTTCCAAGATGGACCCGTGGTTGGAGGAGTGGACAGGCAAATATCACCGTGAGGCTAAGGTGAGCTTCCTAAAGTTTATTTATTTATACATTCTCCAATGACAATAGATCTGATTATGATGAGACTTTCCTGATAGTTGATATCACAGAACTCTGTTTCAACAATATAAATTCTCACGAAAATGTAGTGACGTAACTTTCACCGCTCTCTTTTTTAGGTCATTGTTCACTTGCTAGACAACACAACCGTACTAGGCCAGCTCCTCTACCTGCAGGAGCATTATGAATTTGCTCTTTATGAGGTTGAAGTTGACAAACCAGTTGAGCTGCCCACTTTCATTGATAGTGTGCGTTCTGGTCAAGATGTTTTCCGACTTGGAAGAGATGAAAATCTGGATCTAACAATAACCCATGGTAGGGTGGAATACATGGTTCCAGATTGGTATGAGAGGTGTCATTACATGTATTTTTCCCGTGATACAAGTCACAGTATGGTATGTTGTATCTTCACTTTATGTTTTCTATTCCGACATTTGTATCTTGTCTACAAACTGTAATATTTGTCACTACTACAATTCTACAGTTTCAGGACGATGGAGGGCTCATCATTGATTTAGAAGGGAGGGTTGTGGGTCTCGTTAACAATCACATTAATGAGACTTTTGTACCTTCTTCAATATTGCATAAGTGCTTTGATTTCTGGAGGAGGTTCAAGTATGTCTTTCCTTTCTTTTACCTATTGTTCTTTGTTAGTTCTGTTGAGTAATACACATGTCTTGTATGGTCAATAATTCAACAATGTTACACCTAAGATTTGTGTGGTAATTCAATTATATTTGGTACAGGTGTATACCTCGGCTCCACCTTGGAATGACTTTTACTTCTATCAGACTTTTAGACCCAATTTGTATTGAGAGGATGAGACGTAAGCATAGCATCGAGTTTGGTCTTATTGTTGAGAAGGTATGTAGATCATTATTTCATATCACTCATGTTACTAGTTTCACCTAAAGTTGTTCCTCATATGCATATTATGGAGTAATCATTCTAATTGAATTGCATATTAGGTCTCAAAAGGATCATATGCTGAGAAACTTGGAATCAACAAGGGTGATGTTATTGAAGGTTTTAATGGAAAATATATTTCTACTACAATTGAGGTATGTGCATTGCGTATTTATTAGTTACTTGCCAATCCATCATAGATTAATCTCCCACGTCAGATTGGGTTAACGGGTTGTTTTATTGTAATCAAAGAGGGAACACGTAATCATGTGTTTTTAATTAAATGATCTAGTTAATGTGGTGTTAGTTCAACAACCTCCCAATTCATTGCGCTTTCTGCATGGATAAGTATCTATACACAAGTATGTCAGGCTGGTTATTCTAATCAATTTGATGGAAGAGCATATAGCTTACATTATACGGTGGGCACATATGTATCCCGTAGCTAAGATCAAATAAGAGTATATGGTATGTAGGATGTAAATGTGTTAAATTGTACTTCTAGGGGGAGTATCCGTATATGAACAATTAATTTAATAAAAGAGTATGCATATATATGCATTATGAAGCATAGATTACTCTATTGATAATGAAAAGTGTATACACAATTGATGTTCATTTGATAGTATCGAGTACATTTTCTAAAGAGATTACATATTATTGTTGATTTAAATATTCAAGAGTATGGAGCTATGAAAAAGACAAATTCAGCAATGAGTAGTGACATTACTGTTTGGCACTATTGAATGCTGATTTGTCTTTTTCATAGCTCACATCCCATAATGTGTTTGACCCTGAAATTTTGCAGGGCAATAGAACATCACCCTCTTAACATCCCTTCTTTTGAGATTTTTTTTGAAAGTTCAAAACATCGTTTACGCGTGGTTTTCACCGGTCTCCACCGAATATTTGTTTCCGTATGATATTCTCCCAGGTTATGGGAGAACAAGTCAACATTCGGTGGAAACCGGTGAAAACTACACGAAAATATGTTTCAAAGTTTCAAAAAAAAACTCAAAAAAGGATGTTAAGAGGGTGATGTTCTATTGCCCTGCAAAATTTCAGATTCAAACACATTACGGAACGAGAGCTATGAAAAAGAAAAAAAAATCAGCATTGAATAGTGCCAAACAGTAATGTCACTATTCATTGCTGAATTTGTCTTTCCATTGCTCGCATCCCGTAATATATGTTTTTTACTTGAAATTTCACATGACGATAGAACATCATCGTCTTAATATCTCACATATTTTTAGTTTTTTTTTTTGAAACTTTCAAACATAGTTTCCATGAAGTTTTTTTTGAATGTTGGTTTCCGTATGATATTCTCCCAGTTTCCGTATGATATTCTCCCCATGGGTTATACAGTATGCTCTTTTTGGGGAGGTGTTTTTTAAATGAAATATCTGTTGTAGCCATTACGTATTTGAAAAACCACAAAACAAGAAAAATCTGTTGTGAAGGAGAGGGAGAGGGAGAGGGAGAGGAGTGATCGAGTGAGTACACGTGGTCGTAGGGGTGTATTTTTCATATATACATATTTCATGTGACAGACTCTTGGCTTTTATAATTTCTCTAGTTGGAAAACATGTTGATAGACATATGTTGGGATCACTTCGACCAAGGAAATGAATTAAATGAAGAAAAACATGTTTCGGTAAGTTAATTTTATGTTGTAACTATGAATTGCTTAATATATGCTGACCATAGCATTATGAAAAATATGTTTCAGAAATTAATTTTATGGATTTCTTCACAGGTAAAAATATTTGATGCTACCAAACTTAGCCGGAAAACTAAAAACTTAACCGTAATTGTATCTGATCATGGAGAAGACATTGTAAAAGGTAAGCATCTCCTCCGTTTTATAAAGGAGTGTTTATTTATTTCACCTTGAAGTCATTGGTGTATATAATCTAAATGTGATGTTTTTATCTGTGTAGGCACTTACCCTATCACGGGAAAATAAGGTATGTCGGTCTCTGTTGTTTCTTGTGCTGGGATCAAGAAGGTAAACATCTTCCCAATATAAATTTTGATTTTGATTACGAGTCTTAATTTATCGCATTTCTCTCTATTAGATTCAGTATGCTTAGCTCTTGGTAAAGTAAATTCACTTATATCACCATGGCAGGTCCAGCACAAATCAATTTTGAACAATAAAAATAAAAAGATCTAGCAAAAAACAAGGAGGAAACCAATAGTAAAGACTGGGAGCATGGAACCAAGGCATTTTACTATGGCAGGGGAAAGTAACAATCAAGTTAAGTTCCTTTACATACTATGAACAAAAGTTGCATGAAGAATAGTGATGCTCAGACGTTGTTGGTGCAGATCAGCTCCACGATCAAGGTGCCTGACGGCTGGAAGGTGGACATTAGTGATGGCATACACCATGGTTGCAAACTCTAGCATTAAGATACACACAACACAGCTAAATTAGTTGACGATCAAGTCATAAGACTATGTATGCTTTAGCTAGGATCTAAAAGGACTGAATAAAATGGATTGCCCTGAGCGATGTGAGCAAGTCGACGTCGATATTAACCTCGTCCATGATATATTGGTAGACTGACAGCTTGCCAAGACCACCTGCGGTGTGTTATGAAAGAGATACAAAAATATGTTAATAGTTTTGAAAAGTATTGTTGCATCGGGCCTGGTGTTGTTTTGGTCGCAAGCCATTGAAAAATAGAAACTAAAAAGCACAAAGTAATGCTGATTTTGTTGCCTCAAACTATGCCTGAATATGTGTCACTTTGCCAGACTGTTGTCAAAAAATGATGTGGCATCCCTGTTAATGCCTCAACCTATATATAAGAGTCTTGCTTCCTGGGTGCATCAGCGTGCATATATAAAGGATAGTAAAATAAGAAAAAATGGGAATAAATGCCAGCAAAGTTTGTTCGTGTTGTTGACTGGGAATACATCTAGGTGATAGAAAAAAGATGATTAGGTGACAATGTGCAGAAAAGTGGCACAGTTCAGTTTAATAAAAAAAATGTGGGCCAGATGCTGAAAATTTTGGCCGAATATGTTGTCTTGCTGCATGCTACATAATGTGTTTTATTACCCAACATGATATATTAAGGCTAGACAACATCAAGCCAAAAAATGTAGGCAACTTATGCCAAGTTGCCAACAAATGTGACGAACACGATGTACTGCGTTGGTGCGACATAGTTTATTAGAGCTGGCAACATCTGACTATGACAGTTTATGGTGCCCAAAAAGAATTAACACTACATGATTACTTTGTGTGCTTTGCTACACTCTATAGCTTTGGCAAATAATATGTTGGCTCTGTATTATGGTGTCTCAATTTTGTAAGAAATTAGAGGTGGAGAACCATAACTATGTATTTTACACCAAAGAAAAAGAAAATCACACATAAGGTATTTGCCGTTTGAAAAAGTCATATTTACTCAACCAATAAAAGTCCAGAATGGTCAGGTTGTCTCCAACTATCAAGCCTCAATCAAAACAGGAAAAGTGAACGTCTGCTAGTGGCGGTAAAGCAGTGTCGTCCCTTTTTCGATTTGTCAATGTTACTCGTAGATTGGATCATCTCCCAGGTCCCAGCAAGTGAAAAAAATACCCATCTCCACAAAATTAGCACTCTAAACCCTCCTGCTGCAAAAAAAAAGTGAGTCATAATTATTAACTACTCAAGAATTAAAACGGTTAGCTGGATTTACATGTGACCAACATAATGTGTTCCGTTGAGCAAACATGTTGTTTTGGTTAGGCAACAAAGCCAACATCCAATGGAAAAGAGAAACTGTGAGGACAGTTTGAAATAACTCCTAGGATAGTTCAGGATGTATCCTTGAACGTTCAGAAAATTCTATGATTTGATCGTTGCGTACATCTCTACTCCTATAAAAGATCAAGTTGGTGGTGATGCTGTGCCTGCCATCAATCATTTTCGATCATCAGATCTATGTCCGACGCACAGAAGCAACCCACTTCACATCTGCAAAAGAAAGCTTATTCTCTACGTCCGCTCCATTCATCCCGACTTTATCCAACCAGGCAACCAGAACTCCAGAAGTACTCGATCCTTCTCGAAAAGGGGAGAAGCATGGAACCAAACTGGCCGCTGCCGCTCCACACGCGCCGACGCTGGTCGCTCCAAACGCCTCTCCTGACTCCACTCTGGCTCAGCAGCCCCACCTCTACCGCCACCCCTCCTCCTCCGACGCCGACATCAGCAAGTACGCCGCCGGCGCAGCCCGTCCCCCAAGTCCACGACGCCTGTTGTTGCCTCCTCTTCTGATGCAGCAGCCCCGCTGCTCACCACCTCCTCCTCCCCCTACCCCGTCTCCATCAATGTCCACGCCGGCAAGTACGCCGTCGGAGCCGTCCTTCCCCCGAGTGCGCAACGCCTCTCCCGCATCCTCCTCTGTTGCAGAAGCCCCATCACCTCCCCCTCCTCCTCGCTGTCTCCACCATCGCCGACCTTTGTGCATGCCGGCTACGTGCTACACATCCTCGGCGGCCGCACCGTGCTCCACGTTCTTCCAATTCGAGTACGAGCTGCTCCCCGAGGACCTCTTTGTCGTCTGCAATTGAAGCCACACCCGCGCGAGTTTTTGGGAAACGAGTCTGTAGACAAAAGCCGTGGAAACCATCCGTAAGTCTAGCATTTTTGCACACCCGCGTCATCCTCCAATCGAGTCGGTCCGTCTCGGAGATGGCTGCTGGTCTGGTCTCTGGTGTGATCTGTGATGTTGACGTGGAGGAACTATGCTCTGCTATTGCCATCTTGTAATAATATTCTTTGTGAAGGACCAAGGTATGGGTGTGGTGGCCGAATAGTAAAATCTTCTATACGTTTCATCAGTTCTTGCTTCATATCTGTTAGACAATCCTTGCTTGTGCAAGTGCATAGATGTTCTGGTGGTAACAAATGAAACTGTCTTCTAAAGTATCCATAAGCAGTGGCCAGTACTGGTTTCAATTACTTATCCAGAATCTTCTCGAGGATCAAATTTTGAGTATTGTATGTATATAAATGTTGGTATATGCCTCTCTGAACCAGTATCCACACAGGCAACTCTATGTTGCTCTTTGTAGAGATACATCTAAAAGTAATATATTTTTTCTTACTTTCTCGGATAAGAAAAAGGAAGGCCAGTCCAACCCATTGCAAATTTTACAAAGAAATGATCTACAAATAAGTCTCAGTTTGTAATCCAAGGTATAAAGGAAGTACAATTTGGTGGCAGTAAAAAAACTATTTATCTAATAAGGCATGTCATCTAAAATTGCTTCTGATGTACGGTTCTGAAATTTGTGCAGAGGACTTCTAGAAAATATAACTTTAGATACTTGCTTTAGTGTTCATGATATGTTTGTAAAAAAAAATCATACATGTGTTTTAACTTATTTTTTGGTAGTTCTCTTTGTTACTCCCGCTGTTCAAAAAATTTGGATGACGCCTACAGCAGGTCTCATTGTCATGGAAGCCCCTCCTTTGCTTGGTAGCTCCACATCCAATTTTTCAGCTCACACGCCAATTTTTTTTCCCCTTGATGTCAGTTACCGGCATATTTTTTTTGCAGAATCTTGATTGATGTAAGAAAGTTACAAGAGGCCCGGTACATTTTTTTTGTGTGTGTATATGCACATGTACACTCGCTACTTCTATATGCACGTGATTCCAAAGCATCTCTTACTATACATTTTGCTTTGTTTAAATACACTACAAGCTCAGTTTTTTTCCTTTGTTTGAATGTAACACATGCAATTATGTATGCAGTAGTGATTATATGATGTCCTTTATATAAAATCGCATGACTTCGTCAGGCATATGCACATATATACTCAGTATCAGCTCCAACTACACTTGGATTTTTGGTTCTCACCAAATCACTGAAATGTTTGAAAATTGATGATTTGCATGGCAGGTCCAAAATATTGGAAACTAACTAAGAACGTCGTGTTCTTGGTCAAATCCATGTATCTGGATGTCATAAACTCTAGCGTTATTCCTTCCTCGAAGCACGTTTGGAAAGTAAAGGTACCTTTGCGAATCAAAGTGTTTATGTGGTTTGTGCATAAACAAGTTATTTTGACTAAGGATAATCTGGCAAAACGCAACTGGGTGGGCTCTGCTAGATGTAGTTTTTGTGACCATAACGAAACTATCAAACACCTCTTTCTTCATTGTCCGCTGGCTAAGATTCTGTGGCGGTCGATTCATATTGTTTTTAATATTAATCCGCCTACTTCCATCAACATGTTATTTGGAACGTGGCTTGATGGGGTTGACTCTGATACAGCGAGGCACATTCGTGGTGGCGTTTGTGCTTTATTATGGGCAGTCTGGAACTGCAGAAATGATTTGGTTTTTAACAGATCAACGAACATTCACTTTTTACAGGTTATCTTCAGGGCCACGACGTTGATCTGTATGTGGTCGCTACTCACTCCGACGGAGGCCAGAGAGCGTTTGGTTACTGCGTCTACCCGATGGGAGATGGTAGCTCGGGATATTTTCAACCGGTTTGGATGGCGATCATGTAATAGGATAGGCATGTAGTGCTCCTATTTTATTTGCCAGCCGGTTGTGGCTTTTTGTTTAGCTCTTATGAGCATTTGTTTATTTCACACTTCGACACTTGGAGACTTGTTGCTGGATTGTTTTTAATAGTATGAGCCGTATGCATCTTTCTAATGCAGAGGCTGGGGTAAAACCCCTTTTCAAAAAAAAGATGTTCGATAAGCTTAGGAGTTTCCTGGAGAAACCCTTGGATTTAGGTCTGAAGCTGAAGAACTACAAGGTCAAAGAAGCAGCAAGTCTTGCGCCTCAAATGTTATAGCCCTCGTGCCAACAAAGTGCTAAAGGAAAACAAAAAGGTTGGTATCCTACTTTACCGCCTGGCAAAACAATCTGCTTGCATATTTCTTAATTTGTACCTGGCCATTTATGTCCAACTTGCAATGAGTGGTCGACGGCAGTAA